TTGCATTACACCAAATACACAACATAATGTTCTTTTTAGCAACATCATATGACCCCTTTAAGCCAGGCGCACACTACAGCACTGAAGCTTGTCGCCCTTTCATGTTTTAAGTCTGACTAGTTGGTAAAGGCCTTGGATTGCTGCAGACATTTTTTTAGTATGTGCACTTGTGAGAGACACTCAAACAGATATTTTTTCCCTCATTTAGGGAAAAAAATAAGTTGAAGCCTTGCCTTTTAGGTTATGTGCTGTTTTTTTTTTTGTTAAAATAATTCTTTCTATCCCAGCTTAATTTGCTTGGACAGCTATATGTTAGTCATTCATTGGTTTGTCTAAATGTCCCAACTAGCAATTTTCGTTTGAGTGAACTGTTCTTTTAAATACACTGCAGTCACGATAGCTCTGTTCCTCGTCCATCACATATAAACTCTGGAAACAGATGTTTGTAGTGTTGTGTAAGTGCTGTAATTTTCAACAGCAGAACTGTGATCATGTTCACATCATATGGATTGGAAGAACTTTGAGCAAAACTACTTCTCAGTTCTTTTTAACTAGGGTTATCAGAGGAACCATCATTTCAAACAGAAATTGCATCCAATTAGGTTTAAACTGTTAATACAAGTAAAATACAAAAAATCTAGTTAAAATATTCATAATGATGTTATTTTTTTTTGAGATACAACAGTAGAGAGATGACAGGAAAGCACTGGGAGGACAAAGGGTAGCGGGATCGGCAAAGGACCTCGAGACGGGAATCAAACTCGGGTCGCCATGAGCGCAGTTGCACTATGTGTCGACGCACTAACCATGAGGCTATTGGCGCCAACATTCATAATAATTTTAATTTAAATGAATAAATGGAATTTGTTTTCATTTATATTCGCCAGTATAATATTAAACAGCAATATTTACCTATATGCATTTTGCTAAGCTCTTTCAAAGGGATAGTTCACCAGAAATGAAAATTCATTCATCCTCAGTCTTTAGGGCAAATGAAAGTCATTGCAATATAAGTGATGTTGCTTATTTTTATATTGCCAGCAAAATCATTGCAAATATGTTGCAAATTATCCTGTATTTATTAGTTAGATGTATGATGTATGCGTGTGTTTGAATGTGGTAGAGAATAATCCTTCCAATTTTACTATTCAAAATTTTACTATTATTGCCCAATAATGATTATAAACTTCAAACAGCACGTAATTGGTCACAGTTTTGCAGAGTCAATATCCTTCATGTAACTGGGCAGAATTCTGATATAGGTTCTTCCTCCTCAGATCATCCGTTATTCTCAGCAAAGGTCTTTGTATGCATTTCCTGTCTTTGAAGTGTGATATGGCCTTGGGTGAGGTGTTGGAATGCAGGATTCGACTGATTATGCTCCCATTCGCATAACACTGTATGCAATCAAACTCTTCTCAAAGCGGTTTCGTTGCTCTGAAAGGATAATGGCACGGCGAATAAGCCAAAGTGCCCGTCTTGCTTTGGTGGAGCAGAAATCTGATTTTGATTGATCATTGAACATTTCTCATTCCGCTCTCTCTGCTCCCCAGCCTATGAACCATCACATTTCACCGGCAGTATAAATATGTCAGGCAGTATTTTCATTCTGCCCTCTCATGTCTTACCTGGGTGAGCAATGTAAAACTCGCGAGGATTCTCCAAATAAAAGAAACCGGTGTCATATCTTCTCAATGTTTTGTCTCGGCAAAGAAAAGTGCAGCGGTTGGGACTTTACTTTTTTGTGCTGTAGACTCATTTCGTCTCGCTGTGAAGAAAATGAGAGATAACTTCCTGAGAAATCAAGAGGGAAAGCCAAATACATACTCAAATCATACTGTCTTATAATTCCTTTCCTTTATGTTCCCTCAGCGGCAATATTCCTACTTTTTGAATGCTGAACCAATTGTCTTCAGAATTAGCTTTCATCTCAAATACAGAACAAAGGTGTCAGCCCTAAGATAGCACATTCATCACAAGAATTTATAGAATAATTGTCAAAATCGAGCAAATGCATTCAAAGCCTTCCTGTCTGTGGGTGTGATTAAGTTCATGAGCCTTTTGTTTGATGTTGACAGCTCCGTTAATTATGCAAATCAAAGCTGGCAGATGTAATTTAACATGCCCTATGATCATTTGAAACATGATCCAGTAGTTAGCCATGTATGTTATATACAAATAAATGTGAATATATTAGGCAGTTTGAATATATTTTGCTACTGATTTCTTGTGCTGAGTACTTCCAGCAAGCATAATGTAGCATTTATAAAGCGAATTTGGTTTATATATATATATATATATATATATATATATATATATATCGTCTGCGATAATATCGTAATTGTTGTTTAAACGATATGCGATTTTACATTGAGTATATCGCAAAAACCAAACAAAAACACACCCAGAGACTGCACGCATACACTATGGCCCTGTTCCAAATGGCACACTTCATGTGCACTTCCGGTCTTACAATGGCCGCCGTGTGCGCATGTCTGTTAAATCCACAAGACCGTAGGGTGTCCCATTCGTCATTTTAGCTTTGAGAAGGGTGCTCGCGAGCGCCCCCTTTGTGGCCGTTATGCACCCTCGATGTGAGCTCTGCAGCAGACTTATACCCAACAGTCAAAAGCGGCATTACATCACAAAAGTGTGGACTAAGAGGAAAACAGCGAGGGTTTAGGGTTCGATTCGATTATATTTCCCTTTTTCCCTCCAAATCATTTCAAATATCAGTATTCAACGTTTTGTTTTAAAAAAGCTAAACATTATTAATGCATTTGTAACTGCAGGTTAACTGCATTCATGTCCTGCATTAAACAGTCTTATGTAAATGCATCTAAATGCCACTTCAGATGCAGATTCTGTGCCTCTGCATTGCAAACACAAATTTTGTTGATACTGATTTAATTTGATTAATGACAGCTCTGTAGTGTCTTACTATTTGAATTTATTGATTAAATGTAGGAATTTGCCACAAAAGATGATGCATACATTTAATTAGGTTAGAAAAAAAATTGGCATTATAAAGGTAAAAATGCCCATAAAAGTAAATATCAATTTAAACTTATTGGAAAAGTTCATTTCTGTTACTCCTGCAAACTAACCACTGCACAGAATATCAAGAATATCAAAAGCTTTGGGAGTCAGCTGTCCACGGCAGTCCTAAACCTGTCAAAGTACCAGCACAAATAACATGCTCAGCAAAATATTGTCTAATTATCATTATCGACAAAATTCCAGAAAATATTGAGATTACATTATTATCGCACAGCCCTAGTCCTGTGTAACAGTATGAGATTTGGTGAATTTATATCAAATCTTTTAAATGAGGATTGCAATTAGAAAAACAGTTTTTTTTTCATGGCCTAGTAAATATTGTCTAATTATCATTATCGACAAAATTCCAGAAAATATTGAGATTACATTATTATCGCACACCCCTAGTCCTGTGTAACAGTATGAGATTTGGTGAATTTATATCAAATCTTTTAAATGAGGATTGCAATTAATCAGAAAAAGATTATTAACTTTCATAACTTCTATTATGACTTCAAGTTTTAAAAACAAAACTATGTGAACTAACTATGTGATTTCGCAAAGAGCTGTTTTAAAAAAGAAACACGGTTTGAAAACCAAGTCTGTGCAATATGTTTTTGAGGAATCAGTTGTAATTTTAATTAAAAAAAAAAGTAAAAAAAAATTGTTTTTGCCTCACAATTTTTAATCAAAATGTCTTAACCTGGTCTTCTGGTGAAACAGACTTTTCTAGTGATTATTAACTTTCATAACTTCTATTATGACTTCAAGTTTTAAAAACAAAACTATGTGAACTAACTATGTGATTTCGCAAAGAGCTGTTTTAAAAAAGAAACACGGTTTGAAAACCAAGTCTGTGCAATATGTTTTTGAGGAATCAGTTGTACTTTTAATTAAAAAAAAAAAAGTAAAAAAAAATTGTTTTTGCCTCACAATTTTTAATCAAAATATCTTAACTTGGTCTTCTGGTGAAACAGACTTTTCTCTGCTTATGTATACTGGACTTCTCCAGTCATCTAGTCCACTTAACCTGTTCCCCCACAAGCTCGCATTCAGATCAGCCTCAATTTTTGAGTGCATAGCTTATAACTTAAAATCTAAACCACAAGCAATGAATAGAACCAAGACCCTGCTCTAATTTTTTCCCCGATAATATTTTGTTCTTGGCTGTATGTCACAATATGCAAGAGAAGGTCAGTTGCTACTTTAGTTTCATCGTAACTTTAATCTAGAAATGTACCAATTGCAATTTGATTGGCTGATTCTGATTCCGATTTCTGATTTTTAAAATTTATTTGTTTATTTATTTTTGTGTGTGACCTGCTAATACTAACTTTTGCAGATTCCGGTTTTCTTTCTAAGAAACAAAAATTTACTTTTTTCAATGCAGTTTTTTTTTTCACAATAAAAGAAATATTACAATTTTCCTCAAGCTGCATTAAATTCTCTCACTTAACTCAAAATAAAGTGCTCTGTGACTGGTAAGAGGTAGAAATAATAATTAACTGAAATTGAGTTGCTGTATATAATAAAACGTAATTTTCCACTTATGTTTATAAATGGGCAATTTTTTTTATTCCATCTTTCATGTCATATTCTTACATTTTTCTGATAAATTCAGTTGAAGTTTTTACCATTCAAATTAAATCAGTATCAACAAAATCCATCTTTCCACTGCAGAGGAAACACAGAAGCTGCATCTGAAGTGGCATTAGATGCATTTACACAGACTGTTTAATGAAGCTGAGAGGTGCCATAAATGCATTTACACCACAAAATTGTAAATGCATAAAAAATGTTATAAGATGAATTTTTTAAATATTTTTTTAACATACAAAGAGTCAAGTCAAGTTTTAAATAGGAAAAATATAGAAACTCTTTGGTTATTTTTGAGCGAGATGCTAACGGTCTAATCAGATTCAATGATCTATGCTAAGCTACAGCTAAAAGTGCTACCGCCAGACCAGGAGATCAGCTGAATGGATTCGAAAATGGTAAAACTCAACTGTTAAACTCTAGGGGAGTTGGAAAATTAGCCTATTTTCAAAAATAGCGGAGTGTTCCTTTAAAGGGGTCATATGATGCAATTTCAAGATTTCCTTTCTCTTTGGAGTGTTGCAAGCTGTTCGTGCATAGATAAGATCCCTAAAATTACAAATACTAAAGTCTCAAACCTAAAGAGATATTCTTTATAAAAGTTAAGACTCGTCCACGCCCTCCTAAAACGCCTTGTTTAAACACGCCCCCACATGTCTACGTCACTGTGTGGGAAGATTTGCATAACACTGCCCAAATGTTCACGCAAAGAAAGAAGGCGTAACTTTTATTCTCGCTGTAGTATTGTATTGTAGCCGCCATATCGTGGAGACGCTGTGTGTTTCGTTGTGAAGTGAAACTACTTTGTTTGGCCTTCCAAGAGAGGACACAACGAGAAATCAGTGGTTAAGTTGTATTTACAACACTGTTCCAGAACAGTTCAACCCAAATATTCAGATGTGTGCAGCGCTTTTTACGGAGGACTGCTCCCTGAACCTGGGAGAGTAGCCTACAATGCTGTGCACAAAGGTTGTTTCTATAAAGTGGGGCAATTCCAACTTTGCATGGACAGTCTGGTGCTTCTGACTCAAAGCCTGTAAGTACGTTTTCATATTTAAAGGATTTGCCACTGACGATTACACGCGAGTTTTGAGCAGTGTAGAGTAGCGCTTGTTGTTTGCAGGGGTGTGAAGTAACGAATTACAAATACTCACGTTACAGTAATTAAGTAGTTTTTATCAGTAAT